TGTATATGTATAGATAGATAGACAGACAGACAGACAGACAGACAGACACACACACACACACACACACACACACACACACACAGGGCTGGAAAGGAGGAGCAGACACGTCCAGGTCATGGTGGAGACAGCAGGCTCCTGGGGACTAGGAAGCCAGTACAAGGTACCTCCAGCTGTCCCTGAGTCCTGCCCAGCACTGTGGTCCTCTGACTCAGCCGCACACCTTCCATGTCCCTACCACACATCGCATTGTGCCCTCAACCAGGAGGAGCTACTCAGTCCTAGCATGGACAGCACTTGGGCCTTTGTGTGGTCCTCATGGATGGGAGCTCCCCTCACAGTCACTATTGACAGCAAGGTGACAGCACAGCGGACACCATGTCCTTTTCACCCTAGGCAGCCTGGACTCTGCTCAAGGCAGCATCCTGCAGGGAAGACCATGAATTAGGGTTCAAGAAGAGGGTATGGAGTGAGCTCAGGGCTGCTCTGAGAGGCCAGGGTAAGGGCCCCACTGGAATGATCGCTGGGCTGCGCTGTGGGCTGTGGGCTGCATCTGGAGGATCCAGGTGGATCCCCAGATGGGTGAGGATGGTGAAAGTGAGTGGCTCCAGCCTGGTGGTCTCCACCAATATGGGGGACTCTGTGGCTCTGAATTCTGCAGTTCCTCCCTGGTCACCAGCATGGAGGGACTGAATCAGCTCTCCTGGTATGGCCTGGGATCCTCTGATGATGACAACCAGTTGCATGGTCATCCTGGGAAGCTGGTGGCCCCCATGAGAGAGCTTAGAGGTCCTTTCTTTCCTTCTTGGGGTGGACAGGGTGGCCTCTGTTGACCCACATGCATGCCGGGGTCCTAGGACTTGGGGAGGGGCAGGTGAGGACACACAGCACAGTAAGGGCTGGCTGGAGGCAAGGGCAGCTGACCTGGGGGACAGACCTGCATCAAAGCAGCAACAGTGTCAGGGGAAGGGCAGGGAGGAGAGGGTGCTAGCTCGCTCTAGGCGCTCCTCTGAGCGCTGGCCCTTGGGTCTGCTGTTCAGGCCGAAGAAGCTTCTGCACACTTCCTCTGTCTCATCCCACAGCCAGCAGCTCTGTGTGGAAGTTGGAAGGCAGTGGACATAGTGCTGGATACCATGGACCTCCTCCATGGGATGCTGAGCAGGTTGGTGATAGTTGTAGCTTGGGGGCCAAGAAGAGTCTCAGGGCAGCAAGAACCGGGGAGGGCTCTTAGGACAGAGGACAGGCAAGGACTGCTCTGTGGACAGGTCTGCCCAGAGTCAGAGCTGTGACCTTCTGTGTTACAACACAGCCCCAAGAGGAGGGAGGAATGCTCACAGGAGCCACCCCGAAGCCTTGTGTACCAAGCTCAATGCCCACTGTTCTGGCCCTAATGCCCGGTCAGGCCCGCCTGTCTCAGACGCCTGCTCTCACCAGCCCTGGATTGGCAACCCTCCCTTACAGCCGGGCGACCTTGAAGCTGCTGCCTCTAAATGGTGCAGGCTACAGGCTGCAGGCAGATTCCAGACTTGTGTCAGCTTTACAGCCTGTCTATGGGACATGCAGTTATTTCACTCTCTGTGAGCATGCCCTCTTGCCTGGGCCTGCCTGGCTACACGATGATCCTCAGTGGCAGGCAATGTGCCCACTGGGAGTGAAGGGAGACCTTAGGGCCTAGGCCCCCAGTGGGAGAGGACACAAGGAGCCTGTCCCATGATCAGAACCAAAGCAACAACTCTCTGGCATTCCCGTCCCCCTCAGGAAGGAGGCTGGCCACCACCTGAGCAAGACCTCAGAGGGCAGGGACGCAGCCTTCTAGGAGACAGCAAGGGCAGGCTGATGGCCAGGTCCACTCCCCATACCACTCGCTATGTTGGGCTTCATTTTGAAACTATATACACAGGGGTCCAGAAAGTGGCCATCAAAGTTATGGATTTTGTACTACGTGTGTGTGTGTGAGTGTGTGTGTGAGTGTGTGTGTGTGTGTGTGTGTGCGTGTGCTGCTGTGCATGTGTATACCCATGTGTATGCACGCATGGGAGTGCAACTGTTGGATGCCACTGTATGACCTCTGAGTGTCTCACAGACCAGCTTGTCATCATTGACCCTGGGCCACCTACAAGGGCTCTTGACCTCTACAGGGGCTGATGGCAGCAACTGCCGGAGATTGGCTAGTTGAAAGGGACGGTTCAGACGAGACATCCGCAGGACTCAGCTGGCCAGGAGCGCTACCACAGTGTGCGATGGGGCAGAGGGGCGGAGACAATCCAGGCAGCTGAGGACTGCATGGATGTGCTTGGAGGTGGCCCATCCGAGGGAGGTGGGAACAGGGAAGCAGAAGGAATCTGGCTGATCCAGAGGAGGGCTGGCAGGGACAGAGTGAGCAGTGAAGGACCTCAGACATCAGTTAAACAGCCACATCCAGGGCTGTGAGCTAGCAGTGGCCAATGGTGGGGATTCCTACACACTGTAAAACAGCAGGATCTAGAGAAAAATGATGTTTTCCCAGAAAGCCACAACAGGGCACTGTTAGTAAGAATAAGTTCTGTATGCAAGTGTCATCAAGGGACTAGCTACATATGGGAGTAAGAGGTGTGGGTGACAGAAGGTCTCAGAGGAAACTTCTTCTCTGGAGAGCAGCTTCAAGGTTGCCCGGCTGTAAGGGAGGGTTGCCAAGCCAGGGCTGGTGAGAGCAGGCGTCTGAGACAGGCGGGCCTGACCGGGCATTAGGGCCAGAACAGTGGGCATTGAGCTTGGTACACAAGGCTTCGGGGTGGCTCCTGTGAGCATTCCTCCCTCCTCTTGGGGCTGTGTTGTAACACAGAAGGTCACAGCTCTGACTCTGGGCAGACCTGTCCACAGAGCAGTCCTTGCCTCTCCTCTGCCCTAAGAGCCCTCCCCCGTTCTTGCTGCCCTGAGACTCTTCTTGGCCCCCAAGCTACAACCATCACCAACCTGCTCAGCATCCCATGGAGGAGGTCCATGGTACCCAGCACTATGTCCACTGCCTTCCAACTTCCACACAGAGCTGCTGGCTGTGGGATGAGGCAGAGGGAGTGTGCAGGAAGCTTTCTCAGCCTGCACAGCAGACCCATGGGCCAGTGCTCAGAGGAGCTGCTGGAGTGAGCTGGACCCAGGAGGAGAAAGGAGAGGAGTGTCTGGAAGGAAAGAGGGAAGTGAGCAAGGGCGAGTGACACCCAACAAGCAGAGGTCTACCCAGTGGGTACAGAGGGGGCTGAGGGACCTGCTCCTGAGAGGGAGCAGAATCAAAGAGCTTGGCCAGGCTGGTGAGGAGAGCTGGTGCCTCCTGTCCAGCCCTAGTCCAGCGAAGTCAAAGGTGGTCGTGGTAGCCAGCAGCACCTCATCTGTGGTGGGCAGAGGGCTAAGGCAAGACCTTCTGGAGGGGTGCAGTCTCCAGGCCAGCCCAGGGTGGATTCTGGTTCTACCTGCAGAACTCTTGTCCCCCTTTTCATCTCCAAGTCCCTGGGGGCGTCCTGTCCTCTGTCCCGTTGCCTGCCCCCAAGAAAGGCAGGTTGGTCTTGGAAAGAAGAACCCCAGCCCCTCTAGCTTTGGGATCTCCGGGCGTCCGGGGGACGGTGGATGCGGATCCCCAAGAGCCAGGACTTTGGTGCAGGGTCCCTATACACACTGATGGCTTAGTCTTTGCGCCCCCAGCGCCCCACCTGCGCAACCGTCCCGGGCGGAGCCTTGTGCCACGGGCAGCGGCCGCGGGAGGCGCTGCGGAGGCCACGGTTAAAGCCCGGCGCGGGCGCGAGCACTCAGAAGGAGCCAGGTCGCCGCTGTCGCCGTCGCCCAGCCCCGCCGGCCCTGTGCGCCCCGCCGCGGACCCCGACCCCAGCCCCGATCCCTACCCATCGCCGGCCAGCGGATGGGGACCCAGCAGTCCAAGCGCGGCGCTCCCCGGGCCGGTCCCCCCTCTGCCCCCACGCGTCCCCGGGCCCCCGCGCGCACCGCGAGCCGTCGGAGAGAGAGCCCCGAAGGTGAGCGCTGGGTTACCCCGCCTGTTGGCTGGGGGTGGGAGGGGCGGCCGGGGCTCACTGCGTCCCCCACATCGGCCCGCGTTTCCCGCCAGGCGACAGCTTCGCGGTGCCCGCGTTCTCCGTCGGCCGCAGGGGCGCGGAGGAGGCGGAGCGGAGGAGCGGCGCAGAGCACCGTGCACGGGATAAGCAGGTAGGCGACAGGGACCTACAGTGGACGCGGCATGAGGGTGCGTCTGGGCTGAGATAGCTTCATTGCAGGCAAAGGCCAAGGGAGGGGGCCTTCGGGTAGAGATGTGGGGTGGTGAGCGTCCTGGAGCCAGGCTGGGATGGGGTAGTGAGGTTGGAGAAGTGGGTTATGGGAGAAGCCAGGTTGTTCCAGACTGGGACTCCCAGCGCCTGAGCCTTAGTAGCCAGGTGGAATTGGAGGGTCCTTGTTCATCAGGGATGGCCCTGTCTTCTGTGGTGATTTCAGACCTGCAAGGGGTCTCGACTCTGGAAAGTTCAGGCCACACAGACCACAGCTGCTGCCCAGGGTTGAAGGGTCTTTTTTCTGCCTCGGTGTCCCAAAGGATGGACTGGGAAGCTCTGGGTCTCGGACCAGAGCTGTCTTGGCCTGGAGGCCCTGAGGCATCTTGGCAAAGCAGTCAGTTGCTTACATGCCAGCGCCGCAGTGAATGTTAAGTTTTCACTGGTGTTAGGGACAGTGGGCCTTGCCAGGAGTCTGAGAGCCCCTCACCTACTGTTGGCTCTGCGGTTCCACGTCCTGCGTGAGCACCACGCCAGGCTCTGAGGAGTCTGAGTCCTCCTTGAGAGAACGTTCTGCTCCTTGTGGGTGGAAAGTCCTGGATGCGTGTGGGAATGCTGCAGCTCCATCCCAAGCCAGGAATCCCAGAGCTCAGAGATGAACGCAGCTGTGTTGGCTTTGTGCTTCCGGGGGTCTAAGGCTGTGTCTGTGAAAGTGGGAGAAGCACGCGGGTCTCTGCCGGGCACTTTGAGGACATGGGCTGTGGAGCCAGGAGAGCCCCAGCCCTGTCTTAGCTGCATCATGCCTGCTTATGGGCACACTGGTGGCCAGCTTGCTGGCTCTTGGGGCTGGCCCCTCAGGCTGCCATTGCTCAGATGGGACACTGAGCTGTGTTCTCATGGTGACGGGCTTGAGCACCCTGTCTCCTAACTGTTCAGCTTCAGGACCTCACCCCGAGAAAGCCTGAGAGCAGAGGGTGGTGACAGAGCTGATGCCACTCCAAGTGGACTCGAGTGTGGGACATGGGCTCACAGACTGCATGTGCGGGAGCTTTTTTTTTTTGAGTGGTGAGGTCTGGCTTGCATTACTTTCAATTCTTCCCTGATTTCATGAAGCTAATGTCCTCTGTCAAATGGAAAGAACCAAGACTGAGGCATATGTGACATACCTCAGCTGTGAGATGATCATGTTGCTGTCCCACACTGTCCTCCTGAGCTGCTGTCTGGGAGGCCTGGCCAGCCCCTCCCCACCCCAGCCTTGAGACAACCAGTGACTGCAGCCCTCTCCCAGCCGTGTCCTCGCTGCCAGGTGGCCCACTCACTGGCAGCTCTTGCCTCAGGTCCCGTGGCTGCCTAGTGGGGGAACAGCAGGTGTTGGGCCTTCCCTTCCATCTCCTGCCTTCACCATCTCCAGGCGGCATCCTGGACTCCGGCATCATCTGTGTCCTGGTGGAAGACCCTGCACCTTGCAGAAGTCACTGTGTTTCACGTAGTGTGTGTGGACACCATTCTGCCTGGGGAATCATGGCAGTTACCTTGTGCATGGTCAGGGCACATGCAAGCTGGTCTTACCTGCCCACCCCTTGCTCCAGAACTGACCACATGTATCTGTGGGCCCCTGAGTTCCTTGACCATAAGCGTCCCAGGCCGGGTCCCCTCCTTGCCGTGTGTGGTCCTGGTGGGGCCATGGAGTGGCCTCCCTTGGTACCTTTGAGGCTCATCATTGATGGCTGTGAAGGGAACAAAAGGGACTGGTGACATGGGAGGCAGCTGAAGTTGTGGGTAGCTGAAGTCATCAGCAGCCCCTCCCCCGCCCCAGCCTTGAGACAACCAGTGGCTCCAAGTGGTGCTGGGCAACAGCTTTCCTAAACACTGGCTGTCCGTAGAGGGGTAGTAGTGGTCCTCTCACAGTGTAGCTCAAGTTGCTGGGCTGCCTTTAGTTTCCCTACCACCCCTGCAGCAGGTGGGAAAGGTTCTGAGGACAGTGACTGTCACCATCTGGGTTTTGCTGTGAGTGAAATACAGGGGTGGCATCTTAGCATGGTCTCTGGGGACCCACCTGTAAGACAGGACTGCTACATCCACAGTAAGTGGACATAGTAGGTGACATGGCCCCTGGGGGTCCTCTGACTACCCTGTCCTAGGCCAACCACAGTGCAGAGATGGCCTGGTCTACCACGTCCACGTGTAAGTGCCATGGTGCAGGAGGACCGGTGACCAGTCTGTGGACCAGCAGGCATTCCTTGTCTGCCTTTGCCTGGCTTCTGGATTCTGAGGCTTAGTCTCACTGTGCTTGGACACTTACTTTGGTGACGGTTCTGGGTCTCCTTCCCTACAGTGCAACTGGGCATACACTGTGCTTGCCCTCTACCTCCCCTGAAGGCTTTACAGCCTCTGACCAGGTTTAGGGACCTCTTGGCTTCCTGTGGTTGTCCCTAGGAAGTCCCTTGGTGCCCGTCACAGCCAGCACAGGTGTGGTGTGGAGGCTCAGGGACAGTATGTGCCCAGAGCAGGAGATGGGGGTGCTATAGCTGCACCTTGGCTGCCAAGCATATCAGGGTCCCAGAAGGGGCGGCATTGCCTGGGACTCCCCAGCCAAGTGTCCAGGGTAGCCAGCGGCCTCAGAAGGCATCTTCTCATACCTCCTTCCACTTTGCACCCTTTATGCCTGGCCTTGGGGGTGTGCTCTGGCCCTTTGAGGCCCTCATGGATGTGCCTGGGATCCAGGACACAAACGCTAGGCTGGGGCCTGGGGACCCCTAGAGTTTGGCATCCTCCTCCTCACTCTCCTACAGAGGTCCTGGAGGCCCAGATTGGCCTGTGACAGTGGAGCAGTCTCCACAGGCCCAGGCCTGGTCAATGGCATCTGTGACAGCTGGGGATGAGCATGGAGCACCTGCCCTGCCAGATGCCATCAGGCCTTAGGGCCGCCATGTCAGGGCTCTGATATGCAGACCTGTGGGGCCACACCTGGTAGCCTGGCCATGGCAGGCCAACAGGGGCAGGAGGTGGTTTCCAAGAGGCACAGTGAGCGTCTGCTGCTGGGGACAGAACAGGCTTGCAGAGTGTGCATGACATTCACCCTCTGCATCTGTAAGGCAAGTTCTGGGGGATCACCACGCCAAGGTGGGGACTCTGGGGGCCTGGGATGCCCCAGAGACTACCTGGAGCTAGGATGCGAGGACAGAGCCAGGGCTGCTGGAGTCCTAGGCCAGCTTCCTCCAGCCACTGCCCGCTTGTTCCTGCTTGAGCTGGAATTTGAGCTTCTGGTGGTGAAAGAAGAAGGGTGACTTTGCTGGTCCTCAGCTGCGGCAGGAGCCAGGTGCTTCTCCACAGAATTCACACCCTTCCTCTGCTTCCTTGTCGCTTTGTCACTGGGTGATTCTGAGGATTTGGTTCTTGCTTTGCTGAGTGAAGACCTATGGTTTCCTTTCTTTGAAGCGCTTGCTCCTCACCCTTTGGCCATGGGCTCAGCAACTGTCTGGCTAGATGTGCGGTGCCACGGCGTGGGCCCAAGTACAGTGACCAACTGAGAGCCAGCCCAGTCACTCCCACTGGCCAGCAGCCCTGTGTGACCTGGGCCCTCAGAGGGGTGCTGGTGTCCAAGGCCAGCTGCGAGTGTGGAGACCTCATCCAAGTTACTCACTTCTATGAGGGACATGTGAGGTTGAGGCCCACGAGACCCCGAGCTGTGTACCGTCCAGGCTGTGACCCAGGATTGCTGCGCTGGGAGGCCATGTTGCCAGAAGCTAGGGTCACAGCCAAGTCACAGCTGGCTCCTTGTGCCCCTCCTTACAGAAGGAGCCCCGCTGGCTGCCCTCTCACTGGACAGAGGGAGCAGGTCTGGCTGACCGGCATGATTTGCCCCTGGAACGTGCCATTGTCCAACAATTCCACAGTGTGAGCCCGGCAGGCCCTACTATCCTTCCTGCTCTCAGATGGACACCCCTGTCAGAAATCTCCAGGCTGGCAAGGACAGACCTGTGTCACCCAGCAAGTCATCGGGAGGTGGACAGGCCATGGTTCTTGCACAGCTGGGGGGTCGTGGCTGAGGGTCATAGGGACACCTGTTCTCGGGGCAGCCACCTCACCTAGGCTCTGTTACCCTTTCTGGAGTGGCCTTGATGGGTGCTGCTGTGCACCCAGGGCAAGGCAGAAGTTCAAGGCGATGCCATGTGTCCACAGAGAGGACCTCTGTGCAGCCAGCACACTGTTGCTCCTTTTGGCCCTGGAGACCAGATGGGGGAGGGTGCACATGCCCCAGGCTGGGGTCCCCACCTCTGCTTGTAGATCGGTGGCTGGTGCTAGCCACCTTTCCTGTGAACTCTAGAGGGGAAGATTTATTTTCTTTTGTTCTGGAGAATCTTCTGAGGAAATGGTAACTAGTTTTGAGCTCTGAAGTCAGAAGCCGAAAGGCATGTCATATTTTAACACAGAAATTCAAGCGGAGGTGGTTTAAACATGACCATCAAGTGTCCTGGCAGGCCTGGGTGTAAAGTGTGGCTGTGGGGAGAGCATCTTGTGCCATGGCAGCCACCGTTTCCCAGGACCATGGGCCTCACCACCATCTGTCCGGGGCTCCCACTGTGGTTGTGAGCCCTGGTCCCAGCAGCAGGGACGTGAAACCTGGCTTGGATCTTTTTAGCTCCTTGAAATGAAAGTCTTACTTCATCTTCATGGGGGAGAGGCTGCCCAAAGCTGTGGAAGCAGCCCGTCCAGTGTGGGGACTCCGACCCTCCCTCCCTCCCTCCCTCTGGGTCAGGGCACAGATGGCAGGGCTCTGCTCCTGCCCTGCAGTACCATTTGCTTCTTGAGGGCCGATGCTCACCCAGGATGGGGCGTGGCCCCTGCTCTGTCTGCTTAACCCTACAGCTGGCTGTGCCCTGGGGACAGAGGGTCGGCCCCCAGCTAAGCATGCCCTGTTTCCCCTAGGAGCCCCAGTGGTCC